TATTATATTTCAAACAAATCGGACGCATGGACTTCTTGACATAAGCCCACGTTTTTTACACACTTTACACTTAATTTCGTAAACCACGTTTTCTTGCATGCAAACCCCTTAAATTCAGCCTTGCATGAATGACATCTTTTTGCCCCCCCCCTCGGACACTTGTGATTCGAGATAGAAGATTTCACCAGATACTTTTTAGCTTATTGTCACTCTTCCCAGCTATTCGTATGCATAGGTTTGATTTTCCAATTATATGTTTGATTTTCCGAGGCAAGTATTCATCTATGCCCGTCCTAACATCCCATCTCCCACGTGGTCTAGATTTGTTTTACATCTTCCAACATTCTACCTAAAAGTCGTGGAGCATATCCTTTGCCACAAAGTCCATATTTTGTTTATACTCTCTCACTACTTGATGAGTTATTTAGAGTCCTTTTTAGCATGTACGCATCACGTTGTGCTTAGTGGAAGCTGGATGCGCAGGTCCGTGGTGCAGAATTATACCGGGAGTTGGTCGGCTTTTATAAAAGCTCCGTTTCTAACGTTAGACGGTTGCTTCTCCTTGTCTAACGTCACTTGTGTACCCAAATATGAGATCTCCTTTCCGTCCCCTGTATGCTCCATTGTAAAGGTAAATTGGAATGCTGATTTCTCTTGAACTCTAAAATTCTTCAAGCGCTGCTTTCTGTGCGACCATACTCCAGCATAATCATCGATGTAGCTAGCTGGACGGTTGGCTCTATGGTTTGGCGGTCATGGTCTTCGTTTCAACTAGGTCCCAAAAAATTATAGGCAGATGAGGAGCGCAAGGGTTCCCCATTGCTGTCCCCAATTCCCGTTGATAACAGTCATCTCCGAACGAGAAAACATTGTTCTGGATATCTGCTGTCTTCAAACACTGTTCTAATGGACCACAGATATCCTCTTTTGGTAGACGGCTAGCATCAATTTCAAGCAAATGTTCGTCTTCCCTCGGCTTTCACTGCAGCAATAGAGTCATTGAATTGTATATCGCCATTAAATTGGCATCTACACTTAAGAAAATACTTCTCATTGGCAGCTCATCCGCTTGGGAATGATTTGAGTCCTCTTAAAAAGTATCTAGTGTCCCAAGAATAGATGAGAAACGAACCTCAAGACTCGGTTGGAAGTCTTTTCTAAAAGATACGACATTTTATGTGGCCATCGCACCGCAGGCACGATGGCCATGGGCCATCGCGCGTAGGTATGAGGGGTCTAAGGCGCTGACTGTGATTTTGGTTTTCTTGAGTTGTGATTTCCATTAAGTGCTTACGTACTATGTGGGTAGTTAAGCTACTGAAATGATACCTGTATGTGTTAACCAGATCCTTCGCCCACTGCCTTTCCCCAGCCTAACCACTGGCCAATGTTCAATCGCATACTGTACCCATATCATCTGTGACCAGCATTGTAGCCGCCAAGAGTAGGTATAGTGCGAAAATGATGGCATGATGGATTGCACGACAGGGCCATTCGGCGAGCGGTCAGTCCAGCTCGTCGCGTCACCACTCCTTCGCTCCACACCATGTCCGCACCATGGAGATCCTCGTGCGTCGACTCCTGGCGCACAATGATCACCAGATGGCCTGATGTCGTTACAGGCAGATCCCCATGCTGCGCACGCGCGTGGAGGAGCGCGACGACGGGCCGTACCTGGTGGCCGGCGCCTGCCCGAGCGTGCAGCTGACGGTGCTGCCGCCTGGTGGCGACTGGCTGGACCAGCACCACTGTTTGCTGCAACAGACCAAGATCGATCCGCGCACGGGGCCGCTGTGGCGTGCGTGCCTGCTGCACGACCCGGCAAACATCGCTCCGCCGGTAGCGTCATCTCACCGGGCAGTGCTATATCTCTCTTTGTGTCACACGATAACAGATGGCCTTAGTAACGCTAAGTTGTGTGGCAAGCTTCTTGAGAATCTGGACTGTCTGTTGCGAGGCCTCGGCATAGCTGACGGTGAGCCGGCACCGGTGTATCCCAGTGTGGAGGAGCTGCTCCAGAGCCAGGTGTCTGTCTGGAGCTGGTCCTTCGTCTGGAACATGGCCTGGGATCTGCTCTCGCGGCTGATCGAACCAACCAAGTCCCAGCTGCTGGACAAGTTCGTCAAACCATTCGATCCCAGTCAGCCGGCCGGCACGTACTCCACGGCCACGGTGGCCGTCACGGTGCCGGCGCCGGAGGTGGCGCGGCTGCGCGCGCTGTGTCGCGCCCACGGCGTCTCGCTGAACGCCGCGCTTTCTGCAGCCGTGTCGTTCGCCGGCGCACGCCTGTCGGGCGTCGGCGGCGATCAGTCTGCCCACCTTCCCACCGTCTGGCTGGTAAACGCCCGGCGCTACCTGCCCTCCACCGACTGGATGTTCCTCTCGACGGTGGCCGGCGTGCGGCTGGACGTGCGCGTGGAGCACGCGGACGTCGCCGAGTTCTGGAGCGTGGCCGAGGCGCTTGGCCCGCGAGCTGCGCTGGAAGCTCAACGCCCGTGAGCCGCTGCTGCGCATGCGCACGGCCGCCTGGCGAGCGCAGCCCGAGCGCGGCGGCCTGGGTGGCGCCGAGCTCTCCGGCTGCCTGTACAGCGTCAATAACCTGGGCTCGCTGGAGCGGGTGCTGCCGCGCACGACGGCCGTGCGCGCCGTGGAGTTACACCGTTCGGTGAGGGCGCCACCGGCGCTGGCCGACACCTTCGGCAGCCACTGCTTCCAGACGGTGGCCGGCCAACTATGTTACGACCTCAACTATGTGCGCGGCCGCGTGGCGGAGGCGGATGCGGCGCACTTCTCCCGGCTGGTGGTCGAGGTGCTGGCCGAAGTGGCCGCGCCCAGCGACACCGAGACGGACGCTGAGTGAAACACGCTTTTGGGCTACTCGGCGAGGGGCTTATAGAGGAGTGGGAGCTGGGGACACAGAGTGAGACTCAGATAGTGGCAGAGGATGAGGTTCGGAACACAGATCGAGGCTAAAGGGGAGGGAGGGCGGGGCCCACAAAGAGAGGCGCGAGTGAGACATTGGGTGAGGCACGGAGTGTAAGGGTGAGGCTCGGAGCGCGCAGAGTGAGGGTTTGGGAACGGCACAGAGTGAGGTTTGAGAAGAACACAAAATACGGCTTGGGTGGGGCACGGAGCGGGGCTCGGGAGGGACAAAATGGGGCTTGAGGAGGGCACAGAGGGGGATTGAGAAGGACACAGAAAGGGGTGTGAGAGGGGCATGGAGTGAGGTTTGAGAGGGGCACAAAGCCGGGCTCGAGATAGATACAGAGTGGAGCTTTAGAGGAACATAGAGATTGGGCTCGAGGGGAATACAGAATGGAGACTGAGGTGGACACAGATTAGAGCTTGAGAGGGGCACACAGTGAGGTTGAGGGAGACACTGAGTGTGGCTTAAGGACATGGAGTGGGTCTTAAGAGGGACAAAGAGTGGGGCGTCGGAGGGGTGCAGAGGAATCCTCGGTTGGGATGCGGAGTGAAGCCCCGGGCACGGAGTGTGGTTTGGGAGGAACACAGAGCGAAGCTGACTGACACGCAGCGAGCTCCGGAAGGGACACGGAGTAAGGCTCTGACCATAGGGAGACGATCAGAAGGTTCGCTGAGGGCGTCACTCATTTAGGGGAGGGAGCATGTGTACGTCCATGCCAACTCACAAGGCCGGTGATGAGTGGGCAGCGGAAATCCGTCGAGGCCGGGCGAGAGCCTGCTGAGCCTTATGTAAAGCCCAAACTCAGCTTAGGGCTTTAGATATCGGAATCACAGCTGTCCAGTGAGAAGACACCATGCATGGTGACAGTGGTCGGAGGGTTTCGGGCCCGCGTATCAGGTATCACGTCGCACGTGATATGTGGGCCGCACGCGCGCGTCAACAGTTTAAGCCCTGCCCCCAGTCAGGGTGTTGGGGCGGATATGGGATGGTTCGCACCTGTGCTTAGTGTAGAGTATCTGTGCCGTGCTTCGTGAGCAGAGCTCATTATCTATATTTAGGGGGAGGGGGGAGACGATCTCTGCCGTCACCCTGGGGTTCTTACTGTCGGAGATCTGTATGGTGTTGTACAGCTTATCTCCACTTTCCCCATACTGTTTGTTTGCTGCGCGGGCTTGGTTTAAAGCATAGTTAACTTTCAGATGTGGCAGAGGCAAACAGTGAGTTACTGAGTTGTCTGTGTATAGCAAGCTATTGACACTACCTGTGTGACATCAATGCAATGATCAGCACGGCGTTCAGGGAGTCCAGGTGAAGAAAACACTTGGCCAAGCTGACGCTATGTGTGCACTTGCGCATAATACCGGACGTAGCAAGAATCTAATACAAAAATAACACAAATTGCACGCCTATTTTTGTCGGTTAAGGTGAAATCAATGGCTTTAAAATATTGAGGTGAGCACAAGTTGGAGATGAATCAACCTTTCCGCACCAAATCGTCGAAATTAGTCTACCCTGATGCAAACATGAATATCAACAGGCAGCCAGAACAACTGCGCAGCAGTCATCGCAAGTCTTTTCGTCGCCTTTCGCCGCCTTATTATTATTGAGTTGCATGTTTGATGCGTGTTTTTAAGCTGACAGAACGACAGTGATCTCCCATGCTCGTGTGGAAAGAATCGACTAAATCGGAATTGATTCCGCAATAGAGTGGTATTTTGAGTCTGAATCGGAGTCCATCACGTCGTGCTGATTTGCTCGGAGTTAAATTAGGAGTCAGCCAAATGCTTTGCACCGGAGTCAGAATTAATTTTTCTTGAGCGGGACCCACGACCGTCTTGTGATTTTTCTTGAGCGGGAACACGCGCCTGTCTTTTGATAGACGTCCATTCGCCACGCCGCGAGCAACTGTCTCGTTAAAACTCCCGGGAGATCACTTGGTCACTTCTTCAGCTATCTGTTCACGGTGCATTGTTATACCGATTTGTAATGGTCGAACAGCGTCGTTGTGCAGCATAAACATGTGTTCCCGGCCCCAACTTCTTCCACCTTGCCATGTGACACTTGTAGAGGCAGGCGCGGGTTCGGTTAATTCGTTTCCAGACCTGACTGTTATCCATGCTCACAATGTCTGATACTGCGGCGTGATGCTTTGTTCGGCACCTACAGGTGCACGCCCGTGTATTGTTCGTGGTTTAACTTACGTACCCGCTACATTAACCCTGCCTTGACTCGCCGTTTTTCATAGCGCGGACTGATGGATGGGGTGACGTGTTTGATCACGCTGGTATTTCCAGACCGATGAAGATCGCGCTTAACCGAAAACATCGGTGGAACGAGATCTCACGATTGGTGCCAGTTCATATGTCTTAGATCAATATTTGACCCAATTGCATCAGATCACAGGTCAGATTTTGCATTTTTCTATCCACGCATTTGTTAGTAATGTGACCAGTCACCCGTGCAACGCCCCAGCTGTGGTTTGTTTCGCTGGATACGCTTACTCAAGAGCGCTGAGACCATGCGTTGTTGCCAATATACCCAAAAAGGCTGCATAAAGCTCGAAGCGACCAGAGCCAAAGGTAATCATGACTACTGGTTAGGGTCGCGAGGTCATCAAAGAAATAAAACTGGGAACTGGGCCGTGTTTTCGCCGTTCCCGCTTCCGCAAGCCACAGCTCCCGCATGAAACCCGTCTACCTCTGTCCGCTTCAATTCGTCAGACACCATCTCTCATTACCTACAAATGAGCAGATTTTCGAATCAATCGTATTAGTGTGTGAGCTGTAAGCTGCGCGTAACCCTGGCCGCAGAATTGTCCGCCGAAGCCAGGGAGCTGTTCCACCAGGCTGCTCCGCTCCGTGTATGCAAATGATCCATACACGGTGTGCACCGTATGACCTTATTCATGTAGTCGCCCGAAATACATGTTGAGAGATAACGTTCGTTGGATGGGGGTCGTTGAAAGACACTCCCGGTCATGCGTATGAGTTTATTTCCATCGACGGTAAGGACCAACACGCGCGGCGTAGTTTTGCTGAGCGTTGTTTTCAAACCACACCACGCTTGAACAAATCCTTTACACACGTCTAACAACGATGTAACGAAAGGCAAACTGCGTGCTCGTGATTAATGCACATTGTTCCGCGGCTGGTCTTTGGACTTTGTTCGCACCATGGCAGCGATGACAGGATTCATACACACATTATTTACATCAAAGTCGGGTGATGACATACGTACACAAAATGTTTGAAGTCAGAACTGGAGAAATAGTAACTAAGCGGGTCAGACTGTAAATACACAAGGCAGGCAAAACAAAACCGAAAGACATCGCTCGATTCGCATTGTTCTGCTCTACCATCAGACCGGAGGACCTCACGCAGCATGTAACGAGTGGCTTGTGCATTGCACTGACATGTTCGACACACATATACACACACGCTCGCGCACGCACGTACGCGCACACGTACGCGCGCACGTACGCGCGCACGCACGCACGCAAGAGCATATTCGGTATCGCTAGCGATACACAAAGGTACGTAGTGAGTGCAAACGCACGACCGTCCTCTTTGGGACGAGCGGAATGTATCGGGCCCTGTGGCTCATCGCAAGCAGCTGGCGAACGTGGTACACCTCTGCCAGCATTTGCCGGTTCGGGTGTAATAACTGCTGCAGGCACTACGGCACTGTGACTCGATGAACTCATTTCGAAGGCCTCGTGGAATGCTGCCTACCGGCGTTCCGCCGGACGCCCTCAAACACCCAGAAATCCCAAGACGAATATTGTAAATGAAGCTATAAGTGCTACGGCACAACCACCGACCCACGCTCAAGTCAAATAATATGCCAGCCCGAAGCGGGGAGTGACAGTTGACTGCTGTGACCCGCGAACGCCACATGCGTCCTGCCTACACACATTTGTATGGGACACCGGCGTACATCATGGCCGGTCTCTTCCATCCTTAGCCCGATGCAGACGCCTCCGAGGCCCAATCCAGGGCTATCGCCCGCAGTGCGTCGCGACAAAGAGCAGCCAGCACGCCGAGATCGCGCCACAGCGGCATGACTCTGAGATCAGGTCGCGACCCGCCCCGCTAAAGGGGCGCGAGCTGCCGCGCGGCCGCCCGTGCACCTATGGAATGTGTGCAGAAGACGGGCCCAACGTGGGCCCGTTTGCGAGACAACTGGTCTCTTGAGACAAGAGCCTGCGTCGCTGAAAGGTGCTTTTGAGCACGGCCGTGAGCTTCAAGGTGGATTACACCGATCCCTGCCCGGCGGTCACAAATCAAGCGAATCTGTGTGAGGAGCGGCGTGACCACGTGCGCCGAATGTGAGGCAGAAGTGAGCAAGTGCGCGCCGTCCGGGTGAAGGCTGAACGACGGAATGCTGGTGACGGCGTGTCGCACAGAATACTTCTCCAAAGCGGACAGTTACCGAGTGGGGCCCAGGCGATAGAAGACGGCCTTAATTAGTCACGACGACATTTTATGTGTGCACGAGAGCTCACTTCTTGTGTTATTAGATTCGCGAAGCATAAGATGAAGATAAACGGTCACCAAACGACACTTGTGCGAGGCACTATTGATACAAAATGCTACATGTATTTACATCTGCCCATGAAAGGGACCAAAACCTATCAAACATCGGGTTTTGGACGACCTGCGCATCGATAACCCCGCGCCAACAATGTCATGGATGCCCAGCTGGTTTGGGATGAAACAAAAAATAACGGGGGTTTTCAATTTGTGCCTTTTCTGTGCGCGAGATCCTGTCAAAGTGAAGCAAGAGTGGCACCATAGCTCACTCGTGTTGATGTCCATGGTATAAACATGTGTGGTGCAGTCAGAGAAAAATTGAAAAGCATCATAAAAGTCAAAAACTTATCCACGAACTGATCGTCTGTTTGAGGCAAGCAAAACAGCAGTCCCAGCTCAACTCACCATCAGTTATCTCACTGCATTCATCATCAAACTAGACTTTTGGGATCATATTGTCCCTTTAATTTCCACCCTTGCACAACAATCCCCAGCCAGCAGTAAAGCTGCACTTGTCCGAAAGCACGGGTCAGTGCCAGTGGATCCCAGAAATCCCTGAAAAGGGGAGCTTGAAGCCATGACCACAGAATGGCCAAGCCGGATGTCCCGCCCAGTCCCGTGTTCCGCTCTCGAATCGGACGGCAATGTCCCAGGCGCTAGTTGTGCAAATCGTTCCGCAATGACAATCTGCACGCCAGCTCATACGCGCTCCGTGATGAAACGTGCAGCGGCATTCGGGAACACACACCCACACCCACCCACACCCACACCCACACATGCACACGCACACGCACACGCACACGCACACGCACACACGCACACACACGCAGCATGCAGCGTGAGTCGTGCACATTTTCGTGTTCGACACACACATTCACACACGCGCCCACGCACGCGCACACGCATGCACGCACACACGCACGCACGCATGCTCGTACTCGCGCGCGCACGCACGCACGTCCGGAAGCGGCTAGACGCCGCTGCTCCGGCCGTCGTCGGTGCTCTCGTCATTGCCATCGGTCACGCCGTTCTGTTCGGGAGCGCTCTGTTCACCGTGGGTAGAAACGGCGATCATGTAACCGTCAACTTCGGCCGACTTCTCCTTCTGACCGGTGCTGCCCCGGCCTCCGACAGCGTTCGGCAGCTCCTGGCCAGCGTTGCCCAGACTACCAATGGTCGGCTCCGTCTGACTGGAGCTGCCCTGACCAGGTTCAGGAGCTGGCTCCGCAAGATCGGTGCTGCCCTGATCTCGGCCAGCGTCCGGATTATGACCAGCGCCATCCAGTTCATCACCAGAGGTCGCTTCCGCCCGACAGGCGCCACCCTGACCGCCGTTGAAGGCCGACCCCACCTGACCAGCGCCACCCAGGGCGCCACCGGCGGTCGGTTCCACCTGAGGGCCGCCGCCCTGGCCGCCGGCAGCGGTGGTCTCGGCGTGGCTGGCGGTGCGCAGGCGGGAGGCGGCGCTCAGGCGGGCGCTGATGTCGTTCAGGTGCTCCCGCTTCCTGGCGCGGTCAGGCCGGGCCGGCGGCGGCGCGGCGGCGGCGCGGCCGCAGCGGTGCTCGGCCGGCGCGCGCTCCAGCAGCGCCGAGGCGCCGCACAGCGGGCAGCGCCAGCCAGCCTCGCCGCCGTCCTCCGTCCTGCCCTCGCCGTCCGCGCCGCCGTCGGCGTCGTCGGCCGTCGGCAGGTGCTCGGTCGCCATGTGCCGACCCAGGACTTCCGCGGTGCTGAAGCCCACCAGGCACACCACGCAGAAGATCTGCCGGCGGAGGACGGCGGCGTCAGGCATGGCGCGGCGGCGCGCGGCGGCGCCCGAGGCGGGCGGCTCGCGCGCCGGCTCAGCGTACATACAGGCGGCCGCGCCGGCCGCCAGCCGTCCGAGCCCGGCACTCGGCCGGCTTGCAGGATCTCCGCCGTCTGCGGGCTGTTGAACTCGCTGCATTATACATCGGTATCACGGCGGTATGTGACGGCGGCGGGTCGGCGCCGGGCCGCCGGCCGCGCCGCCGCCGGGTGGGAACTGGCTGCGGCGGCGCGCTGACCCCCGCCCGCTGACGCCGAGAGCACTGGGCCCGGTGCAGGTCACGTGACCCCGCCAGCGTGCCGAGTTTTCCAGGAGAGCACCGCGGAAGTGGGGCCGCACGCCCGGGCCCGGCCTCCGAGACACGAGGATTAACGAGCCGGGGGATTGACATCTAATCCAGTCAGCTTGTTGACGGGTTACCGCACGTGAAGGCAACGGGACGGAAGCCAGCGAGCGATCAAAGCGTGCAGCTTCTCGCTGGATACCGAGGATGCGTCTGCTCGCCTTGTGATGTTAAAGGGCGGCTTGCAATTCATAGACGCTTATCTCAGTACGCTCTGTCCAGACGTGCATTGGAAGCACGGAATGGATTTTGTACCAGGAAAGCCAACCTTGTAGGGGGGTGGGGGACACGACATATCCTGATGGAATGTGCTTCAAATTCCAAAGAACTTCAAAGGCGAGCCCGAGATATGCAGCGAGCTATACTGCACAATGAATCGTCATGAGCTGGCACAACTCAACAGTCCGGTTTCGTCTCGTTTGTCTGCGCCTTGTGCCCTGAGCAACATCAAACCAGCTTTTTAGCTCTCCGGCAGTCCCATGTCATCTTGTAAACAATGCTGTGCACAAAAAAATGCTGTTGGTGTGATGACTGTCTGTTGGTAGCTTGCGTGGTTGCGCACCGAGTAGTTTCCTGTACGTTTCCACATAGTTTTGAGTTACATCGAGAAGAGAAAAGACAACCATCATCTGTACACACCCCAGCAACGCAACCTTTCCTAGACCAACGGCTTACTCCGGTCAACACTGGCTGGGAACACAGAGCGGTTTCAGGAAAAGCTCATCCCCTAACTGGCCGTCTAAAGAAGGTCAGATAAACATCCTGATTTGGCGCCATCTAAAATGACCTCTGAGGAAGAGCTCACACGCGATGTGACCGCGCGTTCCACGGGGGGGGGGGGGGGGACGCTCAGACGGGCCGGCGCCGCCGCGCGGGGTCAACCCTCGGATCTGATACCCTTGGCGAGGGGCGGAGCGGCACACCGGGGACACCGCACGGCGGGCGAGGTGCGGTGCCGCGCCATTCATTAGCCATCGTGAGGAGTTTGGATTGTGGGCATCACCAACGCCAGATTTGTACGAATGCTGGGTCCTTATATGGGATCTCAAAACTCTGTCAGAGCTTCAGATGACTCACACTTCACTGGTGCATTTCAACTTTTTATTTTGTTGCTAATGGCTAGAGAGGGGGGAGTTTCCTGGGGAACTTGGCTTGCCCAGAAGCAATTGTTATGTCCCACTAAACAAATAGGCACACCACGTGCACTACAGGCCAACGCCTCCCACTAACCTTATCTAAGCCCTGGTCCTCTTCGGCGATCTGGGAGACCCAGCGGGCGTTGCAGCGCTCCAGCTCGGCCCAGGCCTGCTCGTGCTCGGCCTCTAGGTGGTCCTTGGCCGCATCCAGCTCGAAGAAGCGCCGCCCGCAGATGTGGCACCAGAACTGATGCTGGCTGGCGGCGCCGGCCGCGCCCGGCGCGTGCTTCAGCGCGTGGTGACGCACCAGGTTCTCCTGCGTCGAGAACGTCGCGCTGGGGCAGAGCGAGCACTTGAACGGTCGCTCAGCGCCCGCGGGAGGCGCGCCGCCGCCGCTGCCGCCGCCGCAGTTGACGCCGCTGCCGCCGCTGTCGGTGCCGCCGCTGTGCTTGCGCACCAGGTGACGGTCGCAGTTGGACTTGGTGGTGAAGTGAACGGGGCAGTGCGGGCAGCGGTAAGGCTTCTCGCCGCTGTGGGTGAGCTCGTGCCGGCGCAGGGAGCTAGTCCACGGAAACTCCCGCTTGCAGACGCGGCAGGGAATCTTGTTGGGCGCGCTGGAGTAGGCGCTGCGCCGCCGCTCAGGCTCGTCGTCGCCGCTCGGCCAGGAGGCGCGTTCGGCGCGCTCCGAGCCATCCGAGCTCTCCTCGTCGCTGCGGAAGTACTGCTGGCAAGTCTGCGCCTGGGCCAGGTCCACCAGGCGCGACACGCTCGCCAGGTCCTCGTCGCGTCGCGCTGGCGCCGACTCGTCGATGACCAGCGGGCCGTCCGGCTCGTCGGCCGGCGGCGGCGGCGGGCTGGCGGCGCCCGTGCCCGGCGCCGAGCGGCGGCCGCCGCGCGTCTTGCGCTCCCACTTGTCCGGGTGGTGGTTCTTCACGTGCCGGTCCATGTTGGTGCTGAGCGTGAAGCGCGCCTCGCAGTGGTTGCAGGCGAACGGTCGCTGCGTGCGGTAGCGGCGCTGCTTCGGCTTCGTCCTGGGCGGCTCCTCCAACGGAGGTCGATCCACACCTGGCTGGTCGAGCTTCGCGTGGCCTCCGACCCCCTCCGGAGCGGCCTCCTTGCTCTCGGGCGGTGGCGGCAGCTGCAGGTGCGCCTGCCCTGCCAGCGACAACGCCGAAGACAGCGCCTGCATGTGAGCGTGCGGGTCCAGGATGCCACCGCCGGAGTGCAGGTGAAGGCCGCGCCCCATCTCGCGACCGACGCTGCTGCGCCAGCTCTCGTCCATGCCGTAGTTGAGCATGCTGGGCATGACCAGCAGCGGCATGGCGGCGGCGTACGGCATGTACAGGCCGAACTGGGACGCCGTCAAGGCCAGCTGCTTCAGCTGCTCGTCCTCCCGCTGCTGCGGCGAAGCCATCCGGGGCGCCTTCGCGGCTGGCGCCTGCTCCGGGGGTCGCTTGCTGAGGTCGAGTGGCAGCGGCTCGTCGGCGGGCGTCGGCGTCGGGCTGCGCGGCCGCACCCTCGTCGCTGGCGGCGGCGGAGGCGGCGGCTCCGCGGAGGGCGGCGCCGGCGCTGGCCAGCCGCGCTGCGCGGCCGGCAGCAGCAGCGACGGCGGCACGTGGAACGAGAGCGGCGGCGGCTGGCGCAGCTCAGCCGGTGCTGGCCCGCCAGCGTCGCCGGCGCCATCCGGCCGGAGCGCCCGTAACAGACGCGCAGACTCCTCCGCCGGCGGCGGCGGCGGCGGCGCCGGCTGGCCCGCTGAGCGCGCGCGCTCGCCGAGTCCCACGTCGCCGGAGGCGCTGCTGGAGGGTGCGGAGGGCGGCGGCAGCGCGTGCAGCAGTGGCGTCGCCAGCAGCTTTGGCGGCAGGGTGCCGTCCGTCGACGTGATCGCCATGTTGTCCGCCAGCTCTTCGCGCAGCTTCAGCTGGTGTCGGTTCTTGAGGTGGCGCTCGCAGTTGGCCTTGGTGGTGAAGGCGTACTTGCAGATGCGACACTCATAGGGCCGCTCGCCGTTGTGGTCCTTCATGTGGCGCGTCAGTGTCGTCTTGTCGCCGCTGGAGAACGGGCACACGTTGCAGGCGTAGGGCGCGGCGCTCATGTGTACGCGATTGTGGCCCTTCATGGCGCGCAGGTTGGGGAACACCTGGTCACACAGCCTGCACGGAAACTCGCCGTTGGCCTTCATGCGCCGAATGTGACCGGCCCACGGGTCCTGCGCGTCTTCGGCCGGCTCCTCGCCGGCGCGCGCAGCCGTCGCTTGTTTGCGCGGGAATTCGGGCGGCGGGCTGGTGGAGGCTCGGTCGGCGCGCCGCGGCTCCGGCGGCTGTGGCACCAGCAGCCCGTTGGGCCCCGGGTAGCGCACGCGGCCGACCCAGCTGGTGCAGCGGTGTTGCGACTCGTGCTCGCACAGCTCGTCAGCATCAGAGGTGCGGAAGTTGCATTCGTCGCAGGCCAGCGGCCGGCCTGTCGCCGTCCTCGCCGCAGCTCCCGTCGCCCCCGCCGCAGCTCCCGCCGCCCCCGCCGCAGCCCCCGTCGTCGCTGCACCCGGCGACTGCGGCTGCGGCTGCGGCTGCGGCTGCGGCTCCAGCTCCGGCTCGGCGTCTGCATGCTCGCGGTAGTTGTGCTCGATCAGCTGGCTGAGGTCGGACACCAGGCGGCCGCACGTGTTGCAGCGCAGCATCGGCTCGGGCGGCTCGGCGCCGGTCGAGCGGCGCTTGCCGTCCGGCGCGCCGCCGCCGACCGAGGCGGGCCGCTTCTCGGGTCGGCGCGGCGTGGGCGCCGTCGCCGCCGCGTGCGCGCCGGCCTCGTGGCGCCGCAGCGTGCCGCCCGAAGTGAAGCGACGCTCGCACAGCCGACAGCCGAACGGCCGGTGGCCGGCGTGCGCCAGCAGGTGCCGGTCCAGCGATGAAGCCGAGCTGAGGCGCTTGCGGCACAGGCCGCACTCGTGGCGGGCGGCGGCGCCCGGCGGGCCGCCGTGCTCGGCGCGCACGTGCCGCGTGAACAGCACCGGGCTGACGAAGACGAGGCTGCAGTCGGGGGCCGGGCAGGGCAGCTGCTGGCCGCCGTCAGCGTCCGGCAGGCTGGCGCCGCTGGGCAGCGACTCCGCCTCGCTGCCGCTCTCGGAGGCCTGCAACACACCCATCATGCAGATGACAGATGACGGGTGACAGACAGATGACGGGGAACGGTCAGCCGCCCAACTCGGCGCTGCTGCGTCACAGACGAGTCGCGGCGGGGCGTCGCGACCCCGTGACACAGCGGGCGGCGGCTGACGCGCGCCACCCGGCGACTGCGGGCAACGAACGCGCCCGACTCGGTGCAGCCTAAGCACGTCGGGCTTCACACGTTCACATATGATGGACGCGGGCGAGCGTCGCGGCCTGGGGCGGGAAAGGAGTTCGCCACTACTCTAGCGGTTGGGTGCAGGTAATGCCAGCTGTCGGATTTGGGTCGAGTGCCACGGAAGTAGGGCACGTGCGACAGAACTCTCCCGTCATGAAGAGAACAGGCAACGTGTCATCTGTGACCCGTCGCATATGAGTCACAGCCCTGATGGCGCCAGGTGCCAAGCTGCGCTTCAAGTAAAAACGTCACGGAGATCAAGGTACGGTTTTTTCTCATAGTGACTGCAAATGTCACCACCTGATAGTGCAAAAAGCCACCATTCGTGTGTAGTGATTCGTTGCGAAGCCCATGCAAGCGTAATCTAAGCTCAGACCATGACCGTGCTGCGACCACGTCATGATTGGAGTTGCAACTGCAAAATGTACTAGCTGCGTGACCCAGATAAGTTCAGCGTCACGGATGATGGGCGCGATAAATGAATCTCGTTGGCAAAGATCTCGTCGACAATTTCGGACACAGAACGATTGTTTGACGAGGACAGACGCGTGTAGCGATCCAGACAATGCACAGCAGGCGACCAGCGCACGAGCCGTTCCTTCAAAGGCTTCACTTCTGCAGGACGACAAAGGACGGAAGCGAGGCACGCGGCCACAATGAGCGGGGCGATGCTCTGGAGATAAGCGACCGCTTGTGGGCAGGGAATGCACCGGGTTTCGGCAGCGAGGACTGAGGTGTACCCCATGCAATACCGACAATAGACCGCCGGGGGCTCCGCTTCCTTCTCTGCTAACAGGAGCTGTTGTTCTGCCGGCTGGTGGTGGTGTGTGGGGGGGGGGGGGGGGGTGCTGCTGCAGGAGCTGGTCAGAGCCAGCCCTCTCCCCCTACCCATCCTCTCTAGTGATGTGCCCACCACACGCAGACACGTCCCACAACAGCGTGCAGGTCTTACAATGGTCAGGCGATAACGTCATATCCAGCCATCGGCGTGAGCGCAATCATTTTCGGTGAAGCTAGCATAAGTACCAATGATGAAAATCACGCATCTGGACATCAGTGGGTGGCGGAAAATCAGGGCTTTCTCACTCAGGCGAAACTGAACGTTTCTATCCCAAAACTGTGTCCCCGTAGTGGTATGGGACAAGGACCAGTCATACCAGATGAACAAGGTTGAGAGGCGCCGCGCATGTCGGGGTACCGGCTGCTCCAGCCGAGCTTTGGGAAGCGGCGTGCGCTCTGAAGACCGACTTTAAGAGAGAACATGTTCAGAACGACCACGATCAGGCAGACTATGCAAAGAATACCTAGGTTTGAGAAGAGGTCTGTTTTCAGAGGAAACATTTTTGAAAGGCCTTCTGTCAGCGAGCAAACGGGGCGTCGCTGCCGGCGCGGCAGAAGGATCTCCGCGATGGTGTGAGCGGCCCCTCCGCCGATTGGTCCTCAACATCTGGGGCCCATATGTGGGCCACGTGGGTTTATGACGCACGCGGGCAGGGACGCGCGGTCCCTGCCGATCAGTCCACGTTCAGGCTCCGACGGCGCGGCTCGACGTGAGCCGCGTCAGCGTTCACGACGACGACGACTTCGGAGTGTGCGACGCCGCCCTTCCAACGCCTCTCTTACCTTCATTTTGCAACTATTTGGCTAATATAGACCCTTCTCTTTCAACGTCTGCTTTCGAATCAAGTCAATGGTCTTCCGGAAAACTAACGGACTCTTTCACACGAACACCTTCCTTTATTAGGTCCTTTTCAGAACTTATTTTTAGAAAGCGTATTGTCAGGCCTTCGTTCAGAAAACCTGTGGTTAAGAACTATTTTTCAGGAGTCACATATTCAGAGTGACCGTTTTTGGGTAAGGGTGGTGTATTCAGAACACCGTGTTCACAAAACCTATTTTCAGAGAGTTTATTTTCAGGTAGATTTACGTTTAGCAGGCGCGCATTCAGGAGGACTACGTCCCGAAGCTCTACTTTTAAGAGACTGTCGCTAATAACGTTTTCTTTCACTAGGCTCGTATTCAGAAGGATTGCGTCCAGCAACTCTGTGATCGTTGTGCTATCAGGCCTCTGGAAGTTAGACTTGAAGAACGTAGGTCTACTGTACGTATGCCTTCTAAGCTAAGGTTTTCTGAAAAAAGTGGTCTGAAAATGCAAAGGTATTGTAAAGGTAAGCTACTGGAATAGGCCTTTCTGATTATTGTTGGACATTAAATAGACTCATAAACAAAGGTTTCTGAAAACAGATCATCCGAATGCATGTTCTCTGAAATTCGATCACCTGAACGTTTGTCATCTAAAAATAACGTCTTGAAAATAGACCACCTAAAAAAGACCATCTAAAAATAGAACTGAAAAGAGCCGCCGTCAACATGGTCTGCTGCGCTTAGGCTCTCTGAAAGCAGACCACTGCAGCTCTGATCCTCTGAAATTAGGCCTTGCGGCCCGTAGCCATGCAATGGGAGTACTCTTGATCAAGCCAAGCCGTGCGGAGAGTACCCCTTGATCAAGCCAAGCCGTGCGGAGAGTACCCCTTGATCAAGCCAAGCCATGCGGAGAGCACCCCTTGATCAAGCCAAGCCGTGCCGAGAGTACCCCTTGATCAAGCCAAGCCGTGTGGAGTGCACCCCTTGATCAAGCCAAGCCGTGCGGAGAGCACCCCTTGATCAAGCCAAGCCGTGCTGAGAGTACTCTTGATCAAGCCAAGCCGTGCGGAGAGCACCCCTTGATCAAGCCAAGCCGTGCTGAGAGTACCCTTGATCAAGTCAAGCCTTGAGGAGAGTATCCCTTGATCAAGCCAAGCCGTGCGGAGACTACCCTTTGATCAGGCCAAGCCGTGCGGAGAGTACCCCTTGATCAAGCCAAGCCGTGCGGAGAGTACCCCTTGATCAAGCCAAGCCGTGCGGAGAGCACCCCTTGATCAAGCCAAGCCGTGCGGAGAGTACCCTATGATCAAGCCAACCCGTGCGGAGAGTACCCCTTGATCAAGTCAAGCCGTATGGAGTGCACCCCTTGATCAAGCCAAGCCGTGCGGAGAGCACCCCTTGATCAAGCCAAGCCGTGCTGAGAGTACCCTTGATCAAGTCAAGCCTTGCGGAGAGTACCCTTTGATCAAGCCAAGCCGTGCGGAGAGTACCCCTTGATCAAGCCAAGCCGTGCGGAGAGTACCCTTGATCAAGCCAAGCCGTGCGGAGAGCACACCTTGATCAAGCCAAGCCGTGCGGAGAGCTGTGTGCTGACGTCTGTACGGTCGCAGCCGGAAGTGCACCACTTCCACATGTCGGCCGGCCATCCTGCTGGCTGCTCACCTTATCTGGCGGCGGCCGGTCGCCGGGGCGTCCGGCGCCGACCAAGCTTCCCGCAGGGGGCGCGCTCGTCCGACCAGTGACGTCTTTAGTCTCTGGATCCGGGGCGCCGTCGGTCAGCCGGTCACCGGTGTCCTTGGCCGTCGGCTCGATGGTGCCCTCAGCCTCTGGGTCGGTGGTGCTCTCAACCGTCGGATCGGTGGTGTTCTCGGTCACTCGGTCACTAGTGCCTTCGGCTGTTAGGTCACTGGTGCTCTCGGCCTCCGGGCCGGTGGTGCCCTTGGCCGCTAGGTCACTGGTAGTCTCGGTCTCCGAGATGGTGGTGTCTTCGGATGCTCGGTCACTGGTGCCTTCAGCCTCTGGGTTGGCGGTGCCCTCGACCGCCGGGTTGGTGGTGCCCTTGGCCGTTCGGCCACCGGTGTCTTCAGTCGCTCGGTCGCTGGTACCCTCAGCCTCTGGGCCGGTGGTGCCCTGGACCGTCGGGTGGATGGTGCTCTTGGCCGCTCGGTCACTGGTGCCGTCAGCCTCTGAGTCGGTGGTGCTGCTGGCCATCACAGCTGGACCCCCATAGTCTGCGGGAGCGGGATTTATGGTACGTTAGCTGTGAGAGCCACGCAGGCGAGGGGGGGGGGGGCACACTTGTGAACAGGACTTACGCGACTTTCACGAGATGAACTGCACTGAGAGAGTAGGGTCATATAGCACACAGATGAAGAAGCGAGGGAGACGCTGAAAACAGACACCGCCGGCTGCGAGACGGCCAACGAAGCATGTGGGTCATGCAGGGGCGGTGCCACCAATTTTTGATAGGGGGACGAGGTCGCAAAACCATCACGACACTTGAGGAAAAAGAAATGGATGAACATCTCACTTTTATATATGCTGTTCCTTCAATGATCTTTTCTATGCAAATTTCCACAGGGGCCTTGTGTTGTACCACCGTGAAGAAAGGGCGCGCGGAAACCATGGATGGGGACGGAGACCACAACATTGGTCCTCCGAGCGTTGACTGGAAGGAAATAATCTAAATGACTGTCATCCCTCGCCCTCCCGACGTCCGTTGCTCCATGCCGACGGAAAGCATATGACTGTCGCGTCGTAGCTTCTTCACATCACAACGCATGTTATCATTTAGACCAATTGGCCCCATAATGTATCAGTGTATAGGTGTGTTTATGTACAGTGAAAAGACCCGCAAATTTTTAATGCATTTTTAGCCCACAGAGCTGCGCGGTAGAAAAAAAGTGTAGCTCTACACTATGGCCCGTACGGCCGATTCCAAAGGCTTGTTTTTTGCCTATGGAAAAGCAATAACTGCGGGTACATCTGGTCATCCATCTCCGTGTTGATAAAGCATCTCAAGGACACGCTGCTTGAGGCTCACAGAGTTCACACAGTCCTTCCAGGTTTGCATCACCGCCGTTCATGGTGCGGTGTTTAGCACAGTCAAATGTTCCTTGATTTGATGCGTTTAGACTGGCAAAAGGGACTCCAGTATGGTCTAGGTCCATCTGATCCAAGCGAGGGTGAGCACGTAACACACTGCTGCTTGTTTACCCTCCTCTGCGTCGCCATTCAGCAAAGCAAGTTTTCACCCCCTGCCTCACGCTGAAACTGCATTCAGGCGTGGCTGAACTGGTGGGCAGGATCATGAGGAGACGGTCAAGTTTGACGACTTCAGGGATGGTTCGCGCACGTAGCGCCTCGCACTGCGGAAACGGAAAGGGAGAGGCATGCAAAGTTAACTATCAGGGGCTACATTTGCTCCCTTGGCAAAGGAGAAAAGGCAGTTCCCCTTGCCTCTCTGGTGACCCTGTCCCTGGGCGTATCCGTAGGGTAGGTATGCGCAGTTTCTGCGCGACCTGAAATAAAACTGCTACGAGCTTGCAAAGAAGGAACAAATTAATGAGATCGGGTCTCTTCAGGTTACATGAGTGACATGTCACGACGCTCACTCAAATCAAACCGCATTTTAAGTTGCACGTTTTCATGCGTAGTGCACATGCCCGTGCACAAACCCGTGCCCGACTAGTGGGCACATTTATGATTCTTTGGAGCTTTTGAAGCACAAGTTCTTTTTGAGCCGGTGGTACCAGGTTTCGGAGGGTTGATGTTGCAGGCTTCCACATGTGTACTTACTCATGGGAACCTGGACCGTGTGCATCTCGCGGGCATATGCAGCCTTCAAATTTGGCGCTCGATCCGAACGCTACATATTGCTGCTGCACAATCCTTACTCATCTTGCTCTGCCGGCAACATTAATTCGGCTCGAACCGTGCCTTTGATTTGCAGCCGCCGTGACTTTGATGCTGACCTTCAACTCTCCGGTCGATATGCGCGAGATAAAACAACCGGTCTGAGCCGTGTGCGGCACGTGCTGTCAATGACGTGCCCGCACTCACGCATCCGCCGCCAGCTGCCGTCGGCCTGTGTGTGATAGGGTTACGCTCCTTTACAGCCATTAAAGGCATTTGATCCAGCGCGCCGCTCATGGGAAGACGCCATTGCAACTTCTGACGCTGTTCCACGCGACGCGAAAATACGTAGCCACAAGGCGACATTGGTTCCGCAGTCTCCTCCGGTTTTCCGTTTGTCCTGTCTGCAGCTGCCCGTTGTCTGAGCTTGTTCGTGTCATCTTTAAATTGGTCAAGAAAAGTCTCTCCAAAACATCGAAAGTCAGGAATGCGTGTTTGATGACCTAAACATGATAAGGTGTCGCTTGTCGTAGTGGGGTGAAAACTGCTGATTCCAACTACGAAAGCGTAGTGTCGTCGGTATTCAACAACGCGACTGGCACGGTACGAGCAGCATTGTGGTGCGGATATGCACGATTGCTGGAAAGCCTGCCAAGACTACTTTGCCACGCGCCCAAGCCGGAGAGCCTAGTTTCACAAAATGAGTTAGGAAGGCTGACCAGAAAAAATGTCCAAAGCAGCCGGCACCGCCACCAGGTGCAGCACCAGCAGCGGACACCAGCATCAGCTGCAGCACCAGCAGCCGGCACCAGCACCAGTCCCAGCACAGGCAAACAGTGCCGGTCCCAGCGTCCATCCCTAGTCGCAGCAGCAGCGGTTATCAACCAACACCAGCATCCCGCGATGGCGTCACTCTTCTCGACGGCTTCTGCGACGGCAACTGATTTGGCAGGGCCAGCCTGACCGGTAGACTGACACATCACTGACGCCAGACTGACAACCAGTTGACACCGCACCAGCGCCAGCGTCCGATTTATCTGACGATGCCGCTGACATCACACGACAGCAAGCGGACGTTTCGTTAGTCTTACAAGCTGACGCTTCGTTGCTGTCAACCTGACAACAAGCTCATGCCCTGATATTGCCGGTCAACATCAATGCGACTTCATCTATGTCAGTCTGACAACAACCTGACGCTTCGCTGGCGCCAGTATGTTTTTCAGCACGCGCTCTGCTGCCACGGCTCCTGCAGTCACCAGGTGCCCGCTGATGTTCGTGCGACAACCCCCTCTCACCCACTGACGCCCGTCTGACAGTCACCCGACATCCACTGACGCCCGTGTGACAACCACCTGATACGCGCCTGACAATCCCCTGACGTCCACTGACGCCTGTCTGACAATCACCTGACATCCGCTGACGCCTGTCTGACAATCACTTGACACCTGCTGACGCCCTCTGTCAATCACCTGAAACCCGCTGACGCCCGTCTGACAATCACCTGACACCCGCCGACGTCCAGGTGACGCCCCGCTGACGTCACTCTGACGGACCGTTGCGTCAGGATGCCCGACCGCCGTCTCTGATTCACTCTTCCGGCTGAGAGGGCGCGCCCGGGAGCGGGGCCGGCGCGGGTCAACACGGCCGGGCGCGAAGTGCCGCGAGCCGATCAACGAGAGCCGGGACTCAAGCGGGCCAGTTTTGCGCGAGAGCTACCAGTCAGGGCAAAGACAATTTTTCGGGAGAACTTCGCTACGAGTACCCGTGTGCACTTGAGCGTCTTTGTCTCCGTTAAAACGTGATCACATGGAAGATGCAAATGCACAGTCGTGCACGTTAGCACATGCACACGCAGGTGCAGCGCGCGCACACTTGGAGCAGGTGGGCGTTCGGTCGAACACACAGGTCCGTTTCGTCGCGTCCGTTCAGTTGTACACATCTAGTCATGCACGCTCGTAACAAAAGGCAAAACATGATCCAGCTTTTGTTGCACCTAGCCATCACGGCGTAAAATGGCGTACGCCAGATCCGGTGTTGCACAGTTCGCCGAGCCGTGTCGCCGTCAAGGACAGCTCGGCGTCCGCCGGGCGCGACCTGGACCCGGGCGCGCCGCAGCAGGAGACGCCGCCACGCTTCAGGGGCCCGGCCGCCGCGGCTGGCTCGGGTGGCCCCGGCGACCGAGGCGGCACGCCTGAGGATCTGCCTGCGCACGGGCGGCGCCGGCACGTGTCGGCACGTGCGGCGGCGGCCCGAGCGCTCGCCACGTGCTCGTGCCGGCTGATGCTGACAGGGCGTAGCGGACCGTGGCCCGACGCCGGCCGCCGCGAAGGTGGTGCCGCACTTAGTGCAGCGCCGCCGCCGCCGTGCGGGTCCCTGCTCTCAAGCTCTACCGTCCAACCGACAACAAAGATAAGCGAGCGATCGACGATCCTCTCGATGACGTCACCAGCTGAGGCTGCGGTGGCTGGCGGGCTGTCTGCGCCCACGCATGGTGCGCCGCTCCGCTGCATCGGAGCTGCACCGGCGGACGAGCGGCCCGTGCAGGCGCACTGCTCCCCTCTGCTCACACGTGACCTTTTCCAATAACTGGATGTTTCATGTTTGGAACAGTTAGAAATGATCAGAATGTGATGTGGCAACGTAGGCTGAGAATCGTGTTGTTCCGCTTTGTGAAGTATTGCTGGCAGGGGCGTAGGTTCGTAATGTGAGTTGATCGTTGATTAGTGAAAGTGACGCAATCTTTCCCCAAAGTACACCAACAAACGACGTTCTTCCAGGATTTGGTGCACTTTCTTCTAAAGTTGTGGGGCTGGAACCCCCTCCCCCTCTCAGCTGGATAGAAAACTACATCCATAGTTGCTAGAGCATACAACTGAGAAGAAATGAATCGATCGTTCCCTCATTCTGCACATGTCGTCACACTGCGTCCAATCACGGTCAACCGCGCGACCACCGCGGCCGCTGCGCCTGCACACAGGTCAATGCCAGCCCTTCTCGTGTATGTGTGCCGTGTCGGTGATGAACTCGTGATTTAAATACACCTCGAGCGAACTTTACCTCAAACGAATTGCTTCCAAGGTAGTGAGCGTTCTTTGTGTCTTAGGCTGCAATAAACATATCGTTGCGAGCTTCTCTGTTTTGTAATCACCCCCTCTCAATTTAACCTCCATCCAAATACCGGCTGGTGAAACATCGCCTTTCGCGGTATAACTAGGCACATCGGTATCCGAAGATCGCGCGGCGCCCACAAATATGTGACGTCACCGCCACTGGCAGACTTCCTGGGCGTGGCTTCATGCCGTCCATTCGCGGTGCAGACGGTTCGGAACGCAAAGGAACGCTACATATGATGCATGTAGTATGTTACGAAGATCCTCCGCCCTGTTTGGGGGTGCACGACTATACAGCATAAGTTTCATATCAACTAGTAACTAAGGGCATGGTACAAGGGGAGCGTACACTTTACCCGAGTCAAGTGGTTTGTGTTAGATACTGGGAGATATTTCGGAAATCTGCTCCAAAGTCCCAGGATTTCTGGAGAATTTGACAATCCCCCCATTAACGAAGTTTTGCCTGCGTGTGTGTTACGCAGTCGGGTACTTGGTCAACGTGCCAACGCGGCAGCCTGCACAGACGTACCGAAAAAACACTAATATTATGTATAATAAATTGAGCGTCATTTGGCCGCGTACCAGCATCGTTGGGGAGTTGGGAATCGTTGACACATCAGTCCTCACGACCGCGAGAATGCGGGGAGGGCTGCTGACTCAGCGCGTTATCGGGCGCCGCGCCGGCTGGGAGCGACGGGGCGCGCGGGCCAGCCTCGCGGGCACGCTCCGCTCAGTGGGCTCACCTCCCGATCTGCACTGGGGCACCTCCGCAGCAGCCCCCGCAGCTCATGCGCAGCAGCGTTGCAATTTTGCGGTCAGCAGTCCGTGCTGGGGTTGCGTACGATGCGGAACGTCAGCGATCGTTCAGACGGGCGTGCCGTTCAGCGGATGATGACTCGTCGTCGGACATTATCGGGGTTTGGATTCCACGCGAGTAGTCTGTGGGTGCCACTGATCATTCATCTGACAGATTACAACAAGCCTTAGAGCAATTCTGGCTGATTTCCGGTTGATTAGTGTGCTCATCCATGAACTTGATAAAGCCACGTTTTTACAGTTAAATCAATGTTCCTCAGCCATCATGACTCTGAGTCCTTAAGTCAACCAATTAGCCGCCCATGGTAATCCCTCGATGCCTGTGTGTAGCAACGTTAAATATCCCTCAGAATTGAGATGCGCTAAAAAAAAACAACTAATCAGAAAGAAAGGGGCTAGAAAGATTCTGTCGGTCGCGCGGAAAAGAAGACTCCTGCGTGCAAAAAAACTTATGCGACAGATACTCCCGAAGACCTTTCCACTGTTCATTGAATGGATGACTCGTGTGTAAACTCTACACCTCAATCGAAGCTGAACAGTTATTTCCCATCCACTGAAACTGATGGGAGGGAGCCATTGATTCGACTCAGTGAAGATGACTCTGCGGCCTCCCTTCTAGTTGTGGCACTTCAGCGATAACAAAACACCTTGCATACCGGACGGCGTGCATGCACAGTACTCTACCGCCTGAGATTGCCACCATAACCTAATCATATGAGCTTAAACATCCTCTGAAGCCTCGCTTATCGCCAACATGAAGCTTTTTCAATCATCAGCCGGGACTCCCCATATTTGGATGACTTCTTATCTGCATATTCTTTGTACTTTGAATGGGGCTGTACGTGTGTATGTGCGTGTGTGTACTTGAGAGCATATGTCACACTACTGTGCACGTTTCCACCTTTGAGTGACTCGGGCTCAGCAATGAGTCAGTCGGCTTGAGCCTGCCACCGGGGGCGGATCCACGGCGCACAATACATAAATAAATACATGATAAAATTCCTGCAGCGTTCATGTCACCGTTGAAAAATAATGCCGCCTAAGCCGATTAGTCATCATTCATCTCGCAAAACCTCTAAGCTGCTTATTGGACCAAGGGTCGGCGGTATATCACGCTTTGACCCTTCGCTCCGTTAAAACCACCGCCACTCTTACCGGAATCATCGACCAAAAGGTCACTTACCTCGCCAGATCCTTTCCGCAATTTTGGAGAACTTGGCCGCCGTGCCGTTGGCAATAACGCCTATCATCACTTTCGCCGCGAGCGCACGGAGTGGCGAACAGTCACTGAAGCGCGCGCCGGCCGCGGGTGCCCGCTCTCCACTGGGGCAGCCGTCACTCGACTGGCCGTGGCCGGCCCACCGCGCGCCGGCCGCTCCTGTGACGTCACGCCGCTCACCTGGCGATGCTGCGCCGCCGCTACCGGGTCAGCTGACGTCCGCGGCCGGCGGCGGCGGACGCGGCAGGAAGCGCTCGTGTGGGCCGAACCACGGGCCGCCGCGCCGAGACGGCGACCGATTACGCGGCCGGTGCTAATGACGGATGATGAGCTCCCAAGACAAAGCTGCTCGCCGGCAGTGCTTGCAAAAAGGCCATTACCGGCGATCCGGTCTTTTTTCGCGGCCGCCTGCAAGGTTCAGCGGAGACAATAGCCCACCACTTCCTCTCGGGATGGTCTGGAAAGCACGCGCGCGTGCGCCCGCTCCCGTCTGAGCGCCGCCGGGTCGTGAGTGTCATCCCCTCCCCCGCCCCGGCTACGCTGTGTTGCAGCATCTCCGTGGCTGACAGCCGCGACGACCGCGCAGGTGCTCCTGAGACTGTGACTCAGCACTGCCCAAGCTACTTCTGAGCATCGGCCCGACACCAGTGCGGCCCTGAACTGAGCTGTCTCTCCCGCCACCAGTGTGGCTCGGGACTGAGCTACCTCTCCCTGTTACCAGTATAGCCCGGGTCTGAGCTGCCTGCCCCCGTCACCAGTGCGGCCCGGGACTGAGCTGCCTCTCCAGTGCGCCGGGGACTGAGCTGCCTCTGCCCAGCGCATTGGCTGGCAACGCTGTCCACCCTCGGCGGGCGGGACCTGGTGGGCTCCGACGCCACCGCCGGGCGCCCGACTGACGTCCGTTCAGCGGTTGCGTCCCAGGTTCGGACCCTCCGCGGCCGCTCGCCTGGAATGTCACATCCCGACGGACGCCCGGCGCCGCCCGCCGACGCGCGGAAGGGGTCGAGCTAAAAATACTGTCGGCTGGGCCGGCCTCTGGAATCCCGGCCGCCATTCTGAAATCGATGGCCATTCCGCCGACGCTGGCCAGAGCGCATCCAGGCCTGGCGAGCTAGACAGGAGGCACACCACTCTCCCAGAGAAGTCAATTCATTCTAAGTGTTTTGCAACACAGGGCATCGCTTCATTGGCAAGGCCACATGTTGCGCGGAAAGCGCAAAGCCGCGTGTGAAGAGGGCATTCCCCCTAATGCTAAATTTGCCCCTCACTCCTACACCCTCCTACACCCTCCATACCTGGGCCGACCCGGACCCGCCGGTCCGTTATGCTACCTCCTTCCTTTCGCCCCCTGCCCGCCGCTAATCGTGAGCCCCCGCCGCGGGCTGTCAACCCCTTCGATCGGTGTGAAGCGGCCATGAAGTCGGCTGGCTCCACAGGACTTCAATTAACCGCGGGTAGGGGCCCTTCCGCTAAGCCGTGGCATCGTCCAGTCGGCGTGTGTCGGATCGGCCGGAGATAATTGGCCGACTGGCTTCCCCGCGCGGTCGTACCTCAGGACTCAGCAGGCACGGATGAGGTGTCCGTGCGTGTGTCAACACATGCTAACACGCGAGGATGACCGCCCGGCTCGTGGCGGTATGGTGCATGCACCGCTCTTACGCACCGTTCTTCCACCAAAACATCCTGCTGAAAGTAAGGCTTGTATGGGCCAGGGCAATACAGAAACAGTTGGGGAAACGCTGGAGGCGCCGAAGACGCAGCCAGGCGCACGACCACTGCATCTCAATCGCATAACAACTGCCCGGCCTGCAGGGAGAAGAAGATCGCGCGCACCGGAACTGGGCGGCACAGAAAGCGGCTTTCCACCTAACCATGCCGCGATATCCCTATCAGCGGGCCGATTGTCCCGGCCCGTTCACCTGTTTGCTGAGCACACAGCCCGTCGTGACGGCTCTCGCGAAGGCCGACCCAACATCCGGTCACGCTTCCTGTCACGCTCGGCGTCCGTTTCCGGCATCGGTTCTGGCCGAATCACCTGCGCGCAGATAGCGGCAGTCACTGCGCCCGATGGGTTTCGCTTCGGTCGGCAACGGGGCCGGTTCTGGTCATCCCCTTACCGATGTCTTCACGGCGGATTTCGTGACGCCGCCGGTCGTGATGCGGTCGTGGCTTCCGGGCGTGACACGGCCATCACGGTCCTGGCGTGACTTGGGGCTGCTGCGTGCCGCGGCGGACCTGCTAAAGACGCTGGTCGAAGGGTTGACGGTGGTGTGGTGGCCTCGTCCGACGCTGGCCCAAGGGTCGACGTTGGTGTGCTGGCCTCGTCCAGCGCTGGTCGGAGGGCCGACGGTGGTGTGGTGGCCTCGTCCGGCGCTGCCCCAAGGGTCGATGGTGGTATGGTGGCCTCGTCTGGCGTTGGCCGAAGCTGTCGAAGGGCCGACGGTGGTATGGTAGCCTCGTCCAGCGCTGGCCGAAGCTGGAGTGATCGGCTGAATGGTGGAGAAGACCTCGCTCGATGCAAACAACCGAATCGCCAACAACAAGACTGCGGCGACGTTCATGGATGCCTTTCACAGATCGCCACGACGCAATGTTTTTTGCCGTGTTTGGATCACCAGTTGCGTTCGTCCCAGCCCGTGTACGCGTTCGCCGTGACTAGCCGCTGATGTCATCGTCGTCGACGACTGAGGAGAGCGGAGGCCCAGGCCAGGTAGATGTGGGGGGGGGGGGGGGGGCTGTCACCAGACACAGGCGGCTGGCCTGACCGCGCGATAAGGGGCCTGTTCCCAGCCGTGGGCCGGAGATAGCGCACGGGCGGGACTCGGCCCGCACCGGAGATTGCGGAGCGCGCCGCGGCGGCGTGGCGAGACGCACTGCCAGCCGCCGCTCCGGGATCTGCACAGCTGCGTCCGAGCCAGGCTGATTCAGCACACCACCAGCGGCGCTGAATTCAGCCGGGAGCCGGCGCTGCGCTGCCCGCCCGGAGCCGCCCGTTAACAGCAGCCTTGATACCATGCCTCTTGCGACGTTTGGACAACGCAGGTCCTCATTGACAACATAGTTACATCGTCACTATAGTCACAACCGTGAGTCATGTTGTGGTAGCGGCAATCAGAGTCGTGTCGTCACGGCTGGAGTCGTGTGGTGGCCGCTATCCTACACGTGCGGCTATCCTACACTGGCGATGACCGCTATCCTACATGTGCGGCACTTTGGCGAGGTCCTCCACGGCGGTGGTGGTGCGCCACGTTTTGGCGCCGAGTCATACGTGTGATGATATTACCCCCGTCCACGTCAACAGCCCCTTCCAGCTTCACGCAAGGCCTCCACGCTGCCGTCTGCTGCCGCCGCCGTCTGCGCCATGTGGTGACGCACCGCACCTCGCCGCTCTTGTCCGCGCCGCTCCCGCCCGCGCCGAGATCGATTTTCTACGACGGCTTGTCGGCAGCTCCCCGGGTCTGAGTCACGGCCGGCGGCCATGCTGCTCTCGTCACGACAAGGCCGCTGACCTTCTTCAGCTGTATTCGGCACCGGCGTATATTGGCGCCATTCTCGTCCGGGGTAAATCGGGATCATTTTGTTTCACTCAGGTGGTACCCAAAGCTTAAAGCTCTCGCTCGTTGTCGTGACCTGGACGCACTACATGTGCGCGTAGAGTTTCTAGGGGAGTCTGAGAAATATATGGGCTTTGCCGTTTGCATTCCCTGCATGGGATGTTGCTACGAAAATATTTCATCAATGTACGCAGCATGTATCATGGCATGGGTGCACGACCACCGGATCACAGAGACATTACTTTTTGTGCAAATTTGATAGTAGCCCTGTGGTGATATATAAAACCAGGTAAGCAAAAGTGGAATTGTCGCTCCCCCCCAACTTTGTATTACATTTATGCGCTGTTGATATTATGTTTCAGATTATTATCACTAGGTTCGTAAACACCACATTAGTTTTTAGGTGACTTCATCGGTGCATGTCACGTCAAACCGACAGGATCAAACAGAAATTTGGATCCAAAGCGATTTTTCGGCTGTATCCCGGCAATATCTATACTGCGCCGACAGCAGCCGACTTTTGAACCCATGAGTGTCACGACTATTAAGTTATTGATTCTGGTGTATTGCAAGCTCTTGGTCGCTGGCCTGTCATGATTATATGTATATATAAATATATATATATATATATATATATATATATATATATATATTCTCCTAATCACATTTGACATTCCACATTTCCGGTGCGTAACATTTTACAAGCTTTCACCTTTCGTCGAAGAAATTAACGAGAAACTTTCGGAGCATCTGTACGCAGGCCTGTTCTTTGTGCACAGCACATTGTCGAGGAGGAACAAACTTTTCGACTTAACGATGTGCTGAGGACAGAACATGGAGCATTATGGAAAACATGAGACAT